AGGTGGAGGAGGAGGAGGAGGAGGAGGAGGGGGAGGGGGTGCTCTAGTTTAGGTGATGTATGGACCCTCAAACACCAACAAAGACTCTCCTTTAACCGATGTGTTTCCTATTAATTGAAGGGGGGGAAAAATAGAGCCGGAGAGCGACTGCTTAAGCAGCAAGAATTTATAGCTCAGCTGACAAAGACTAACGGATTCAATTTTTCTGCAAAAGTTGAGGTATAAAAAAAAGCAGTTCTCTTCTTTGTGCACGAGCCAGAACAAAAAAGCGTTCAGTGCGATGATCATGCTCTTTTTGCTCACTTTGACAAAGCCGTGAAAACCAGAGTGAATAAAATGTTAGTTAGTGGCATGTGGCAGAGCTCATGCCGGCGTAAAGCCTTGAATTTAAAAGCAGTGTGAATGAGCTCAAGATGCAGAGGTTGACTATGGAGAAATGTTAAGCTCGCAGAGGCCTTTTACAGTCCTTTCAACACGTGTCTGTTGTGCTCTTCAATTCCTCTACAGCTAAACAACCTTTTGTTCGATGCACTTGAGAAACACAATAACATATCCTGCACGGCGGCCTCTTCCTCTTGTTAAAGGAACGCACTTTACAGGATGCAATAAAGATGCAGCCAAAGTTCACATTTTACTGAGGGTGCTCATACAGAAGCCATTAACTTCATGAACTCGGACTGATCTGTATATCATCAACAGTAGAGGAGCTAGTATAAGTGGAAATATCTTTTCTCAGTGACAATTGCACTGCATGTACAGCTTTTCAAAGCTTAGTGCAGTTTGTTGTCCTCTTTCCACGTTACAATATTGCAGAACTGATGATGACTTCCCATTTACTATTGGCATCTTAGCCCTTAAGTTGCTTTATATTGCTCTATTGAATTGGGGACTGTCCAACATCTGTTAAAGCTGATCATTTGTATTCAACTTAATTTTTCTGTGCATCAGCCAAAAACAATACAAAGTCATGGTAAGGGGATAAAGTGTCAAAAGCCATGATTATGGATGTCAAACACAATAAAATGGCATTGCACATTGAGACATATAGTTGTATAACACATCTTTAAACTATTGTATGACATAACTGATCTCATGTATTGATTATTCTACTGCATAACATTTTATGTGTCATCAAGCTCATTGTGTAAATAAAGGAGACTAAAATAAAAAAGCCTGTGTGCTCCTGTAGGAGCCATGAAACATGTTTAGTATTGCGTTATGTTTTAATATAAGATATTTGTTTGAACACAATTGATTGGTTGGCTTGGGTCACATGGATATGGGCGGCACTCATTCTAATCCTGTTCACCTGCGTGAGGTGTGTGTGGAAGAGACAGGGCCTTTCTGTTGACCGCAAGTTGAAATGATTGCTCTGATTAATATAACGATGTCTGTCCAAGGAGAATAAATTGATAATCCCAGTTTTCATAAAACCACATTATTTTGCAACAGAGTTTTTGATCTCAGCAAGTACTTTTTTGTAGCGTGTCACACAATATCAAACAGGCCCGGCCTCAGCCTCTCAGCGACTTTGTTTGTTTCCTGCTGTCGCTATAGCTCCAGTTTCCTTCATTGTGGACGATAATCTACACTCTCATCCTCGACACTTACAGTAAAGCAGAGTGATTACAGCAAACCTAAATGAGCTGTTGTATTGTAAAGTGTTATTCTGAAACTCATTGTGAATGTGTTCGCGTGCAGAGCAGCAACAGAGTAAGGAGGAAAGGTTTCTCAGCTTGTGTGTCAGTGATGACAGTCCTGATAAGATAAAGATGGTAAAACCACAAACATGTCCTCATCTGTCACCTTCAGCTGCACCGGGAAAGAAAAGTGAGCCACGTGGATAAACGGCTAGATAGACAACATTTTTCTTTCGTTAACAAAGTCCATTTGAATTTAGATCTTTATGAGGCTTATTAGTCAGAGTGTGTTGTTTCTCAGGATCCAATCAGGTGTTACATAAACTGACATAAAGACAGGATTCATGCTTTTACTCCAAATAATCAAAACAAATAAAAAATACAATGGAGAAGTATTATAAAGTTATAAATCCAGGATTTCTGAAAGTTCATCAGATGGTGAATTAGTGCATTGTGGATTATAATACTACAAGACAGAAACATTGCGTCATCACCGAGACAATTGTTTGTATCTTTCATTGCTTCCATTGTGAGGTAAGCCTTGAAATGTGGAGTTCATGTTAGAAAGTCATATTGTGAGTAAGGTATTCTTTGTGAACGCAGTGCCAGATGATGTTGTGTAGAGTTTCAGCAAGATTTGAAAAAGTTTAAATGTTCTTCTTATTTGAGTTAAGGAGATTCAGCCAAAAGGACCTGCGGCTTTAAGAAACATCTTCAGGCAACTGATAGATAGGCAAATTCAATTTAGGCACAACCACTAGTTCTTTGTGAGCAATAATATTTTCCCTCTCTTCACCCCCTTCTTCTTACTGTCTCCATTTTTTTTTTCTCTCCATGTGTTATTGTTCTGTAATGACTGTGAATAAGGGAAGTTATGTACGCTGGCTAGCACACACAACGATACAGTGAAGAACGCATAAAAGTACATTGTGTTTAAATGTGTGTGTGTCTGTGTGTATTCTGCGCAACTGTGCTTTAGTTTTGCCCCCCCCACCCCCCATCCCAAGCAAATCCGGCACTCACACTGGTGCAAAATGGGAGCCAAGCCACATCTTGGCACCTTGCCTCTCCTTAAACAAATCAGACCATAGAGGCTTATAAAAAAACTCGGAGTGCAAAGCTCGCTTCCTCAGACGAGGGGGTACCGAAGAGGGGAGCTATTCTCAGACGCCCCGCTCTGAAACAAAGTCGTACAAGACGGAGCTCTGCTTCTCAACTTGGACAATAAGTGCCAGTCTCTCCACTGTCCCCTTCATCATCCCAGCCTCTTTGCTGCTAAATAGCGCTTTGATGCGATATTGTTCTTAACTAGCCTCACTTAAAAAAAAATACAGTCTGAAAACAATTTGCTTCTTAGTTCAGTGACAAAGTGAGCGTGAACTTTCCATCTTTAGACCAATTACTGCTAT